AGCAGGGCGGAGAAGGGAATTAAAGATGTCAAAGAGACGTCTGGGATTGCGGGAGCATGAACTAATGAGAGAGGAAAAGTATGACTGTTTGGCGAGGGCGAGGGCTGCGCTGTATGAAAGCAACATGAATCTATAATGGAGAAAGTCTGCCTGGGTGCGGGACTTCCTCCAGGAGCGTTCAGCACAACGGGAGCAACTCTGCAGATAGCGTGTTGATTTATTATGCCAAGGTTGGGGTCGTGTCCTCCTCGAGGTGCATGTTTGGAGTGGGGCTGCAGCGTTCAAGGCAGATGTGAGGGTAGTGTTATATGTGGAGATGGCCAGTGAGGGACAGGAGAGGGAAGGGATGGATAGCAGTTGTGAATCAATGTTAGCTGACAGCTGCTGGATGTCAATAGAGTTAAGGTTCCTCCTGAGCTGAGGGGGGTTAGGCTGAGATTGTTGGGTGAGGGGGTAATTGAGAGCAAACGATAAGAGGTGGTGATCAGAGAGAGAAAATGGAGTGTTGCAGATATTAGATACTGTACATGAATAAGAGAAAATAAGGTCGAGGGTATTGCCAGCTACATGAGTGGGAGAATTAGCCCACTGCAAAAGTCCAAGGGAGGAGGTAATTGAAAGTAGTTTAGAGGCTGCTGGGGTTAAAGGTGGGTTAATGGGAATATTGAAGTCTCCAAGAATTAAGGATGGGATGTTGGAAGAGAGGAAGTAGGGTAGCCAGGCATCAAAGTGGTCAAGGAAAAGGAGAGGGGAACCAGAGGGACTATAGATTACGGCAATGTTAGCAGAGAAGGGTTCTATTGTAAAATGTAACGTGACCTGTTAAATGTTTAAAAAGTTACAATGTTGTTATAAGTTTAATTGAAATAGCTTTTGATTTCCGTAAATATGCTGCAAACACAACAAATGACAATTTTCCGTTTTTACAACCTATAAAGTGTTTTGAAACTTACTGTGTGTAATAATTTGGAAGAGTGCATTGTAAGTTTTTTATGTTTAAAACAAATACTGTTAGCATTAGGAGGTTTGTTCAATAAAATTTGAATTGTACTCTTAATAGTTGAACCATTGTGCCTCTGGCAAGATTAATATGCATCATTGTAACGTGGCCTCGTGGTGGTTCAGAGTGATGAGCGTGGCACCGTGCTCGCTTATGACCCTCTGCCGGCCTGACTAATGAGGCAGGCAGAGCGTGTGTGAGACCGTACTTATGGCATGAGTTAGACCGCCGCCATCTGTGGAGGGTAGCTTCTATGGCAGCGAGTGGCCGCCGACCAGAAAGCAACCACTGTAAAATGTTGTGACTGTACCGGCCACGGCATGCCACTGGGGAGGTGCTAGCGAAGCCAGTATGCGGCTATTCCCTCCGGGGATGTCACTGCCCTCCGTGGGCCTGGTGAGTCCATGGGGGGGAGGGAGGTTCAGAGTGCTTGGGGAATAAATATATTGGCCGATTACCATGGCGGGTTGGCGGGTTCCCAAGCGTCGATACAGACGGTGTACTACTGTACCTGTCTGTACTCACTGTTTGTGCGGGAAAGCTGTAACTCTGCAGCAACTCGAGTTCCGACCGATGGTGATCCGGAGGAGCCTTCAATTCTGTGATCCTGCTCTCGGTTATCCGGAAGTGTTTGATACGAGCCTCAGCAGTATGCCAGCAGTACGTCTGGAACCAATGACCATAATGTAGGGAAGGTGGGGGGGAAGTCCCTTTTAAAGGCATAAAGCCCCTCCCACAATTTCAGGCCAAGCCTTCCAATAAATACTTTAAATTCAACTGCTTGCTCACACGGGCTCTGCCCCCTCACCCCACCCCCCAACAAAACAACCGCCCCACCCTATACAAAACCCCTGTCACTCCCTTTACAAAACCCCTGTCACTCCCTTTACAAAACCCCTGTTACCCTCTACAAAACCCCTGTTACACCCCTAGAAAGCCCCTGTCACCCTCTCCAAAACCCATGCTCACCCCTCCACAAAATCCCTGTTTCCTCTTTACAAGACTCATGTTACCCCCTCTATAAAATTTTGTCACCCCTTTTTACAAAATTCCTGCTCCCTTTACAAAACCTATGCCCCCCCTACAAAACCATGTCCACCCCCTCTACAAAACTCCTGTCACCTCTCTACAAACCCCAGCCACCCTCTATAAAATCCCTATTACCCCTCTACAAAACCCCTGCCACCCTCTACAAAATCCCTGTTCATCCCTCTCTACAAAATAAGTGTTCACTCCTCTCTACAAAACTCCTGCTCACCCCCCTCTACAAAAGCCCTGTCACCATTCTACAAAACCCCTATTACCCCCTCTACAAAACTCCTGTTACCCCTTTACAAAATCCCTGCACCCCCTACAAAACCCCGCCAACTCCCCTGTCATCTCTCTACAAAACCATTGTCACCCACTTTACAAAACCCTTGCCCCTTCTCTAGTAAACACTTGCCCCACCCTCTACAAATCCCCAGCCCCCCTCAGCAAAACCCCTGTTACCCCTCTACAAAACCCCTGTCCCTTCTCTACAAAACCCCTGTCTCTTCTCTACAATGAATGAAATGCTGTGGCGAGACCTTAAGAGAGCAACGATGTAAAGAAGAGTGGGCTATAATTCCTCAACAACAATGTGAGAGACTGATAAGGCCATACAGAAAATGATTACTTCAAGTTATTGCTGCTGAAGGTGGTACGACAAACTATTGAATCATAGTGTGTACTTAGTTTTTCGCACATGGCTTCTCCATTTTGGCTTTATTTTTGCTAAATAAATCATGACAGGGTGTAATGTGTCATGTATTGTTGTTCATATGAGGTTGTATTTACCTAATTTTAAGACATGCTAAGGAACAGATGATTGTAATTATGTCCTGATATGTAAAACCATAGAATTCAAAGAGGGTGTACTTTCTTTTTCCCATGACTGAAAGTATTAAAAATATTTCTGGGACTGCTTAACAGAACTTTTTTTTTTAAAATATACTTTGTAATTTGAACCATTTAGTGTTTTCTTTATGCATTGCTGCCCTTCTGTAATTGAAAATATGTATTTAATTACAAATAAAACAAACAAATATCCATGTTTTTGCCTCAGCTAAAAACCTAATGTGGCATTTTATAAGGGTCACACAATAGTTAAAAGAATTCTATAGTGCCTGGAAAACAAAGACATTTTTCTGGCACTATAGGTTCCTACAGTGACCACCTTCGACCACTTACATGAATGCAGCGGTGATGTCCCTTGGCACTGGGTTAGGCTCTGCCCATGCTCCTCAAACGCTGACGTCAGCCGGTGTGGGAGACCTAATGCGCAATGGCCGCACTCGCATTAGGATTTCCCCATAGGAAAGCATTAATTGATGCTTTCCTATGGGGATTTTGGTAACGCTGGAAGTCCTCAAGCGTAGCGTGAGGACGTCCAGCATCATTTCGGCGACCAAAAGTAATCTAAGCAGTCCATCTTGTGGCTGTATAGAAAACAGCCACTAAAAGAGGAATTGACCCTAGCAGGTAATTATTGCAGTTTCTCAGAAACTGAAATAATTACCACTATGGAGTTAAGGGACATGGGGCATTGCACCCTGACCACTTCAATGATGTGAAAAGGTATTGGTGCCTACAGTGTCCCTTTAAGAGGGGGTAGAAGACACATGAGGATAAAGGTATAAGAGGGGATAAGACATACACAAGGAAGTAAAATTGATTAAGTAACACATTTTACTTATGGGTAAAACACATACAAGTTTTATGAGGGGTAAGAAACAGAAGGGGACAAGCTGAGGTTAATAGATACACAAAGGTTATGAGGGGAAATAGATACACACGCTGGTAAGGTTGGTTAAGAGATAAAAAGAAGTGGGGTATATAAAGTACACAATGGGGTGAGAGAGATAAAATACACGCAAGGGTGTCAGCACATACACACAAGGGTTAAGAGCCACACAAGCGGGTAAGAGGTGAGCTAAGAGACACACAAGGGGTTAGGAGACAAACATAGATGTGAGTTGTCTTCAGAGAGAGACACAAATGGGGTTGAGGAGTACAGTAAAAATGTTGCAATTGACAGTGTGCCAACACACAATTCCTCCTCATGCGCCAAATAACACAGGAATGCCACTGGGACCTGCAAGTCAGATAAGCCATTTACAAATATTTGTATCAGCCATTTGCCACTCACCTGGTATCAATTTCTACCTTCCAGTTGCTCCCAAGATTTTGAAATTTTGAAGTGGAACCCAACAGTTTTGAAACACTATCAGGATTATTCACGAAAGTGATAAATGTTGGGAATTCAAAATAAATTTCAAATTTAAGGCCAAAGTAACCATAGCTGACTTTATTTTTGATAATTTTTTCCTGTATGGCTATTTTGGAGACAAATTCAAAATTTACTTTAAATTCCTGACAATATAACCCCGAAAATATACTCTATTTCCCCTTTTTTCTCAACATATACTAGAGACGTGGTGGTCCTCCTGGAATGTTTCTCCTTGAAGTCTTCAGAACGCCCTCCACATATACAATAGCATTATATTTGTCACAGATGGCAATAAAAAACAAAAAACAATTAAAGGAATATAGGAGACTGGGAATTCCAGGAACGGAATAAACCCAGAAAACCCAGCATAAAGAAAACCAGACATGGACTAGAAAACTAGAAAAACCAAGAAAAACTAAACAAGAATTGTAAAAAGAGTACTGAATACTAGATGCCAAGGCCAGGCATCTGAACAGAACGGAACAGGACGTGACAATATTCATATAATTCGTGCTTCATTATTATACACATTCTAACATGAATCAAGTTTAATGTATTTATCCAATAGGATATAAGTATTGCTGATGATACCAATATTTATTTTCTACACAAGAATGGTAACAAAGAGAACTATCTGGTTGTATAAGATCTGAGACAGTGGAACACTGTGACATTAGTAAATGTTAAAAAATTGTTTTCACCATTTATCAGAGAGAATATTTAAAAAACACCACAGTAAAGGAGTGTTAGAAAAAAAATTAAGCAAAAAGCAAATATAATTAGAATACAATTTTTTACAGGCATGTCTTAACATCAAAGATAGGCAAATTAACATCTTTCTAGAAAACACATGAATGACTTCACTTTGAGATCATCTTCTGTACAAATTCTTCATAATTTACTTGACCGTCTCCATCAATGTCAGATTCTCTGACCATCTCATCAGCCTCTTCATCTGTTAATTTCTCTGCAAGGGATGTCATCACATGATGGAGTTCTGCTCCACTTATATAGCCATTTCCATCCTTGTCAAACACACGGAATGCCTCTCTCATTTTACGGGCCATCAGAGTGAGGAATTCAGGAAAATCGATTGTCCCACTACCATCATGTTCTATTTCTCTGAACATATCTTGTAGTTCTGCTTCTGAAGGGTTTTGTCCAAGAGACCTTATTACGGTGTCGAGCTCCTTTGTTGTAATTGCACCATCACCATCTTTGTCATATAATGAGAAAGCTTCTTTAAACTCCTCAATCTGCTCTGGTGTCAGGTGTTCAGCCATTGCTTAGAGTAGTTATTAGTCCAAAGAATCAGCAGTTCCAATCAAGTAAACTACAGCTGTCGCTGACTTGACTTGACCGATGTGTATGTACTAAGATCAGTTCATAGAAAAGATTGTTTGGACTCCTTCCAAAAGCTTGTTGTTTCAAGTGCTTGCCCTTGCACTTGTGGTGCCTTCAGCAATTTAAGACTGTCTTATCATTGCAGAGGGTTTTATTTGATATTATTATCCGGCAGTTTGACACACCTACCAGTGCTTGCCTCAACATTATTTTCTTCCTAGACACTGCAGCCAGTGACTTCAATTATATATATAAAGAAAAGAACCATCGAAAGCACCCATTGAGTTAGTACTGAAAATAATTACCCAGGTTTTAAGTGAGCAACCCACAGCTGTAAAATATTATCGGGGGACAAATGTTTTACAATGTTCTACCTTGTTTGCAGGTTCCATTGGCAGCTTACAGATGTTCTGGCTGCAAACTTGGCAACACACCATCATTTTAATACTATTACTACTATAGCAGACAGTAGAATATTTTGCCTGGGTAATTACCATTATGTACAGCATGAAAGTGTTAAGTGAGCAAAAAACAATTATAGTTTAAAATTGATTCTCTGTTAGGATTTTAGCCAACTCAATTTATGTTGAATTTTTTTCTGGTGTTGGACTCCTACTCCCATTATCCTTATGTGCTTTTTCAATATTCAAAGCAGGACTGCCATTTTTTTCCAATTTAGGACTGGTTTCTTTTATAATTATTCTATTATAAGACAGCAAATATCTGGAAATTTAATAACAATTTTTCTTTAGATGTCAAATGGACAACTGCAGTTGTTACCAGCGTTAAATGTATCTGTTAAAACATAAGCCTAAAACTGCGCATATTAGGGGGCTATAAAGGGCAGGTAGAGAGGTAATGTTAGGGAGAAATAAAGATTAATCAAATATCTTGAAAAGATTTATAATCCGTTGTACACAAGAATACATTAAGAAGGTTACCATGATGGCTAATTGCCCTTGATATGATTCAAGGTTCAAAGTTAAAAGATAGCAAAACAAAAGAGAAAATGTTGATTTAGATTGAAGTTTAGAGACTCAGCAGAAAAGGGATGTTATTAACAGCTATTAAATTAAATGAAGAAATGAAGGCACCACTAGTGCAAGGCTATTCATGGACCCATGTTGTCTCTGATCTTGAAATTCATGTGATTTTAGATGTTCAACAATCCTTTAACATGGTTTTCATCACTTTCCCCAGTACTGAAGTAAGGCTTATAGGCCTATAGTTGCCCAACTCCTCCCTACTACCTTTCATGTGAATGGGCACAGCATTCGCTAATTTCCAATCTGACCAAGTGGGGTTCGTATCCAGCTATCAGGGAGCTGATAATACAAGAAAAGTGCTGCATAGCCTCAACATTATGACTTAAGAGGGGTCAGAGGGACTACTACTCTCACTCGATGCTGAAAAAGCATTCGACAGACTGAATTGACAGTTCCTCCAAGAAGTCCTCAAAAAATATCAATTCACGCAAGAATTTCTCACAGCAACAAAAACCTTGTACAGCTTACCCTCAGCGCCTGTGTTAAAGGACCACTATAGTGCCAGGAAAACAAACTCGTTTTCCTGGCACTTTAGTGCCCTGAGGGTACCCCCACCCTCAGGGTCCCACTCCCGTGGCGCTGAAGGGGTTAATCCCTTACCTTTTTTCCAGCGCCGGGCTCCCTCGGTGCTGGGACTCTCCTCCCTCTTCTGACGTCCCTGGCTGAATGCACATGCGCGGCAAGAGCCGCGCACGCATTCAGCGAGTCTCATAGGAAAGCATTCTCGATGCTTTCCTATGGACGCTGGAGTCATCTCACTGTGAAAATCACAGTGAGAAGCGCGGAAGCGCCTCTAGCGGCTGTCAATGAGACAGCCACTAGAGGCTGTATTAACCCATAGGTAAACATAGCAGTTTCATTAAGCTGAAGTGGTCTGGGTGCCTTTAGTGGTCCTTTAATCTTAACTCACTAGCAGGACGAGGCAAGGCTGCCCTCTCTCACCGTTATTATACGCGTTGGCTTTGGTATTCATGGTATACACATCAGCCATAAGGAGTACAAACTGAATTTATTCAAAGATAATGTTCTGTTAACATTATGAAAACTCTTATCATCCTACCCAACCTGCAATCTGAAATACGCGGATGTAGTGTACAATCTTTTTTTATAAACTTAACATTTCAAAAACCCAAGCATTAGGGATTAAGACTTTTGACCGGGTCATAATGTTCCCTATGGAACTTCCAAACTACTTGGCACAAAGACTGAGGTAAAGAACTAACTACAGAAAAATGGAGCAGGGCATTCTCATCTACAATAGGACTCTCATTATGCTGATCCCATGTTGAGATCACATGGAAACAACTCTATCGCTGGCATCTGACACCAAAAAAACTAGCTCGTATATACCCCACCACTGACTAAATGCTGGAGATGCCAACAAGAAGTAGGGACCACAATACATATCTGGTGGTAATGTCTGCTAGTTATACCATATTGGGAGACAATAGCACACATTATAAGAAGTAGTGCAGGCATCCCTGTTCCCTTATCCATAGAAGTATTTTTCTTATATATCTTTCCCAACAATCTTCCAAAACCTATTTGAAAAATTATGTATCATATGCTTACAGCTAGAGTTGAGCGGACACCTGGATGTTCATGTCCAGCGGGTTCGGCCGATCTTTGGGAAAAAAGTCCGGGTTCGGGATCGAAGTTGACCCTGAACCCGAACCCGAACCCCATTGAAGTCAATGGGGACCCGAACTTTTGGGCACAAAAATACCTCTAAAAAAGTTCTGGAAAGGGGTAGAGGGCTGCAAAAGGAAGTAAGGCATAAGAGTAGGACGAGTGCCCTGCAAACAAAAGTGGATAGGGAAATCACTTAATATAACATAAAATACCTAAAAATTAAAAATACAGCTGAGTCATAAGATAGCACCAGATGGAATCTTTGATTTTAGCTTTGGAAGAACATAAATCAAAATCTAAAGCATGGCTGTCAGGATCACCAGAATTATCCATTTGAGAGAGGGTTGGAGTGCAGGGTATTCTCTTTCATTGTTCAAACTGAGCTCAACTCTTGATGCATGGAGAAAAGGCCTTCACAAGCCTCTGCTATTGTGTACATAGTTTATACTAAGTGATCCATAGGTTGAGGAGGCGATGACTGTGGCGGTGTAGGTGGAAGCAGCGGTGGAGGAGGTAGCCAACACTGTTTTTTATATATTGGGACATATAATATTGAAGGTTCGATCGCCTACTCGCACCTGAGGAAGGTGTTTCACTTGTGTGTGTAGCTGGAACAGATCGACTACGTCCTCTCTTTGCAACAGGGGCTACACCAGCAGCACCACGACCAGGGCCGCATCCCTTATTTGACTCTCTCCTCATTCTTTGCGTTCACCCACCAAACTAGCAGATATTTTATGTCAGGAGACAATGAAACTGCCAATAGTCAACAAATTTTTTTTTAGTTTATTGGACTGCAAGAAATGCACCACAGGCTGCAAATGTACTATTAGAATTTTTGAAGGTGCGATGTAACCACAGTATTTGACGGTTCTATTTGACTCTCAGATATAAAGTGAAGGGCCAAAATTTACTATCTAGCAGATAATAACCCAGAAAATAAGAATGTTTACAATTGCAAATATGAAGTGCACCCCACTAATGTACTTTTTAGCACCCAAAACATTTTAAGTTTTAAAACTGCAGTTTTTGACACTTCTATTTGACTCTCAAATATGAAGAGCACGCCCCAAATTTACTATTTAGCAGATTAGCACCCAGAAAATAAGAATGTTTCAAACTGCGCTGTAAGTGCAGTATTTGACGCTTCTATTTGACTCTCAGATATGAAGAGCACACCCCAAATTCACTATTTAGCAGGTTAGCACCCAGAAAATAAGAATGTTTACAACTGCGCTGTAACCGCAGTATTTGACGCTTCTATTTGACTCACAGATATGAAGTGCAGGGCCCAAATTTACTATTTAGCAGATTAGCACCCAGAAAATAAGAATGTTTACAACTGCGCTGTAACCGCACTATTTGACGCTTCTATTTGACTCTCAGATATGAAGTGCACCCCACTAATGTACTTTTTAGCACCCAAAACATTTCAAGTTTTAAAAAAACTGCAATGTGACAGCACTATTTGACACTTTTATTTGACTCTCAGATATGAAGTGCAGCCCACTAATGTACTTTTTAGCACACAAAACATTTTAAGTTTTAAAACTGCAATGTGACAGCAGTATTTGATGCTTCTATTTGACTCTCACATATGAAGTGCACCCCACTAATGTACTTTTTAGCACCCAAAAATTCTTAAGTTTTAAAACTGCAATGTGACAGCAGTATTTGACGCTTCTATTTAACTCTCAGATATGAAGTGCACCCCACTAATGTACTATTTAGCACCCAAAAAAAAGACTTTTTAAGACTCCGATGTAACCACAGTATTTGACGCTTCTATTTGACTCTCAGATATGAAGTGCACCCCACTAATGTACTAGTTTGCAGAATTCTTTCCTAATCTGTCCCTGAGCATCCTCTCCCTACACTAATAAGAGCTCATGTGACGTGCGGCGCTACATGACTCCAGCTTATATATAGAGGCTGGGTCACATGCTGCACTGGCCAATCACAGCCATGCCATTAGTAGGCATGGCTGTGATGGCTTCTAAGGGCACATAAGTCAAACGCCTGTTGATTGGCTGCCCTGCAGCCTTTCAAAACGCATCATTAAATCGCTGAACACCGAACTCCAACCCGAATATACAGTGATATGTTCGTGTTCGGGTCCGGGGTCCAAAAAACCTAATGTTCGGTACGAACCCGAACTTTACAGTCCGGGTTCGCTCAGCTCTACTTACAGCAGCAGCATTGCTACTAGCGAGACAATGGAGATCCCTGTCAATACCCATAAGCAGGAAATACTAACAGAGATACTGACAAATTTAGATTATGAACAGATGGCATACACTCAAGTATCGATTGCACCCATTGAGTTAGTACTGAAGATAATTACCCTGTTTTTCACTGAGCAACATGTTACCACTGCAGTAAAAGGTCATTGGGGGACAAATGGTACACCCTGTTCTACTTTGTTTGCAGGTTCCATTGGTAGCTTACAGATGTTCTGGCTGAAAATTTGGCAACATACCACAATTTTAATACTATTATTATTATTTACTATTTATAAATTGCAGTGCTGTACAAGGGGTGGATTAACAGACATGTATTTGTAACCAGACGCACAGGAACAGAGGGATTGATGGCCCTGCTCAATGAGCTTACATGCTATAGGGAGTGGTGAAGAGTGAAATAAAAGGTAAGGGTAGGGTAGAAAAGTAGGTTGTTAGGATAGTATTCACTGAGGGCAGGGCCGGTGCAAGGATTTCTGCTGCCCCTTCATTTCACACACTCACTGACAGACACACACACACGCTGACACACATACGCTCACTCACTGACACACACACGCTCACTCACTGACACACACACAGAAACTCACTGACAGACATACACTCACTCACTGACAGACACACAGAAACTCACTGACAGACATACACTCACTCACTGACAGACACACACACAGACACTTACTGACAGATATACACTCACACACACACACTCACTGACTGACAGACATATACTCACTGACATACACACACTCACTGACATACATACACTCACTAACAGAGATACACACAGGCAGACACTCAAACACTCACCTCCCTGGGGTCCAGTGTGAGGCAGCTCATCACTCCTACCGCCCGCCGTTTAGTATGCCGGGGCCGGAATGACGTCATATTCCAGCTCCCGGCATCACAGAGGTCACGCGAGGCAGGAATGAGAGGCTACAAGAACACCCTTCCTTGCCGCCTGCCTGCTCGGTCCCCCTCTCCTCCAGTCACCGGTATTTGATGGCAGAGCAGGCATCTGCCATCATGGTAAGAAGGTGCCTGCTCCGCCATACTGTGACAGCACTCCTCTAGGCTCCCCCACTTTCAGGTGCCTGGAGGAGTGGCCCAGAGCTGAGGGAGGGCTGCTCAAGAGCCAGTTGCACAGCGCTCCGGACCAAGACAGGGGGAGCCCACCAGGAAATATCCTGGTGGGCACCCCCAGTAGGCCGGCGCCCTAGACGCTGGGCCCTGACTGAGGGCGTAGTGTTTTGTTTTGAATATTTTGCCCGGATTATTCATTGCAAATATGTACGGCATGAAAGTGTTAAGCGAGCAAAAATAATTATAGTTAAAAAACGATTCTCTGGATTTTTGCCAAATAATTTTCTGTTGCGTGCAATCTGTTGAGTTTTTCTGGTTTTGGACTCCTACTCCCAATATCCTAAAGTGCTTTTCAATATTTAAAGCAGGACTGCCCTTGGCTTTGCCCACCATCGTTTTCTGATTTAGGACTGGATTCTATTATAATACAGCAAATATCTGGAAATTGAATAGCAGTTTTCCCATAGATATCAAATGGACAACTGCAGTTCAGTTAAAAGAGTTAAATGTATCTGTTATAGAATAATCAATATAAGCCAGAAACGGTGCATATTAGGGGGCTAGAAAGGGCAATTTAATATTTTAAATAGATTTCTAATCAGTTGTACACAACAATACATTGAGAAGCAAAAAATGGGTCGCAAGAGTATTTTGAGAACGGACAGCAGCTAAAATAACCTGCCCTTCAGTGGGTACCCGCTCAGAAGCTGGTTTTAGCTCATCTTGTGCCATTACAGAGAGAACATATCTGAAGCATATCAGACTGGTCCCACCCATACGGGCAGTCCAGATCCAAAATGCCAGCAAGTTCTCTCTGCACGAGAGATACAGCAACCCCAGACGATCGTTTCAGCCTTATTAGGCATCATCAGTGAGGCATAGCTGATATCTCTCTAAGCACCGTGAGCAAAGGGTCCACGTCTGGATTACCCTTTAAACTAATGGAGAGCAAAAAATGGGTCGCAAGAGTATTCTGAGAACGGACAGCAGCTAAAATAGCCTGCCCTTCGGTGGGTCCCCGCTCAGAACTCAAGCTTGTTTTAGCTCATCTTGTGCCATTACAGAGAGAACATATCTGAAGCATATCAGACTGGTCCCATCCATACGGGCAGTCCAGATCCGAAATGCCAGCAAGTTCTCTCTGCACGAGAGATACAGCAACCCCAGACGATCGTTTCAGCCTTATTAGGCATCATCAGTGAGGCATAGCTGATATCTCTCTAAGCACCGTGAGCAAGGGGTCCACGTCTGGATTAGCCTTTAAACTAATGGAGAGCAAAAAATGGGTCCTAAGAGTATTACAAAATTAGTAATACATTGAGAAGGTTACCATCAGCACGGACACCGACCGTCACCAGTTTGTCTGACAGGTTTTGCCGGGATGATGTAAGTATGCTCCCGCACGCATCCAGGGGTGGAGTTAAGGAAGCCCGGCGAGGTGAAACCGCGTACGCAGCAGCATGATTTGGAGCAGAGGCTGAATTGCGTCTACAGGGCTATTATACTGTCTAGGCGGCTAAAGCGATGAGCGGAGGTTTATATATTCCCTACAATTAGAATTGGAGAAAGAAGGAGCGATCCCGGCGTACAGATGAACAGAAGCGGAACGAAGGAGTCTGCAATAACCCAGGTGCCTACATTTCTTCCCTGATAACAGTATGCATAGAAACACTCTCTAAACTCAAAGTAGAAGGACAAAGATACAACGCTAAATGCCCTGGGGGAAAGTAAAGTATTTAAGTGAATAGCTGCTTACAAACCAGCTTTAAAAAAAACCACTCTAATTTAGCTGCTATAACAACAAGAAGGGAAGCTGACATTTACATACATGCTATAAAATAATAGCTTCTATATTGAACAAGCATTATTTTGCTTCTTTCTTGTACATATTGGAAATACCTCAATAGAAGAGGGAGTGTACTCAGCCCCAACTTTCGTATAACAGCAAAAACATAGATTAACGAAGGAGGGAGGTAAAAAGTAAAGAGAAGGAAAGATAAAAAGAAGTAAACTCCAAATACGTTTGAGTTATGGCTACTAAAACGCAAGAAAAAATATGACAAAAAAAGATAAGAAGAAAGATCCCAAAGGGTAAAAAGGTGCAGTTAACATTTTTCACCTTTGAACAAAGTTTCAAAAGAAAAAAAACAGAAGATTCAGTGTTATCATTATCTGGTATAGATGATTCTTCAAGTAGTGTTAACTGTTCTAATGATATTTCCATCACGGCAGAATTCTTAAGAAATTGCTTACAAGAACAATTAGAAGCTATAACCAAGACATAAAGCAACAGATTGGAGGTTTGACAAATAGAATTATGGTGGTGGAGGGAAAAATTGAGAATTTAGACTTCCAGGAAAATTGTCTGAAAGAACATAATATCTTACTGAAAACCCAACTTAAAAATCTGGAATTAAATATGGGAGATATGGAGGATAGAGCGAGAAGAAACAACCTGCGACTAAGGAATGTTCCAGAGTCAGTCACGCAAGATAAATTTATGAAATTTCTAAATAAACTCTGGACGACATGGGAAATTGATTTAACAAAATATAACGCTAATATAGAAAGATGTTGCAACGGATCACCTGGCACCCCGACTGGGTACCTCCATTGAAGGATGCTCCTAGCGCTTCCTCCATGCACTGCAGCAGACACCACAACCACCAAACCTGAGAAGCATACGAATGCTCTCAAGCATATGAATACTGTAAGCAGCTGAACAGGAAAAGCATACAATCAGCTTACACTCCTGGCAATCAGTATACAATCCAATTCCCCCAATAACGAGACAACACTTCGTTTTGAGGTCAAGCAGAACTGACTGTACTGGCACATACAGCCTCTTTTATTCACAATCCACAAACTTAGTACTGCCCACAGGGTTTTACAGAACAACCAATAACACACGTACATTACAGAAAACACTCCCAGCAATTATACACAAAACCCTCCCCTCTGCCTGTGATATAATTATGATACACAATGGTTTAACATAATTATCACAAGCAGGAAAAATACATTTTTTATATATGTACTATAACTTTAAAAATATACATCCAATCTTCATAATAATTACATATTATTAATCAGCATACTTTAAATATAAACATACTCAAAAATCATTCGAATCCGTTCAGCCGTTCGGGAGATAGATATAAGTCAGGTTTGACCGACCACAAGCACATTTTCATGCCCAAAACAGTTCCAGAGAATCAGGTTGTGCGGTCTGTCTATTTCCCATGTTAAAGTCAGTTCAAACAGACGAACGACAACCATTCGAATTGTCCAACTGTCGAATGAACTGTCGAATGGATTGAAGTCTGGAGAAGGTAAAACTTCAGCTGAATTAAAGATGGCCACCGCCACGTGTTCGTTTGTCGAATGGCGGCCAATTTAAAGCTGCAGAACTGCTCTAATTCAATTTAAAGGGGCAGCAAGTCTTTTAAAATCCAATCTGCTAAAATAGTCTTTAACAGGCAATATCTTCCAAGGGCCATAGTCTTAAAGGGGCATTGCTCCCAAAAGTCACAGTATGTCCCCAGATGGTTCTTAAAGGGCCAGCAGCAGCATAATGTGGGGATATTTATGGGATAATAATAGTAACAGTGAGAATTGCCCACTTATTCAATTCTCAGATCCCAAAGAACGTTTATCGTGTTAAGTGAAATGTATACCATATAAATAATATCACAATGTTATAAAAATAGATTTTATTTATAATAACAAATTAATTAATAATAATATGTAACATGCGTGACAATAATCAATGAATATCCAGTATAAAATGGTATGCAATACAAAGGAATGGCTATACACGTTTCAATGGCTAAACAGCATTTTCTGTCAAGACTTTTGACAATTTATGACTATCTTTCACAGAGAGAAAGCGAAACTTTTCACAGCGAAGGGCCATAAAACCCTTGCTAACAGTTAGAATAACCCTTTCAATGCTGGCTAGATCTCCTAGGTAATTAAGATCTATTCTTATGTAATTTTAAATAAAATAACATTTAAACCAGTTCATTAGTCATTTCCTGGAACCATCCAATAAGAGAATCTACCATGATTATATAAGCAGACTTTGTTTTAATTTGTCTAAAAGATATCTTATCTTAATTTAGAGCAAATCAATACACCTGGATAAAAACAACGGTATGCTACCACGTGATAATATCACATCAATATATAATTATTCTTAATTCCACCTGCAGAATGGAATGTTTATAACTATATATTCTTTAGTTAACTAAGATTTCTTAATATGGAAATCTGACCGTGCTTTATCCAGTCATATATCCTGCTATTAATACATTTTAATTAATTTAATTAATTAAATGAAACCAGTATAATTACCAGTTGAGTAGATCTTTCATCCGATTGGTAGTTAGTCTCAGGAATTTATTTGGATGTCTCTCTGCATGGAGGTGTGTAGGTGATAGTGTCCTAGAGTGTCATTGCTCACGACTGCTCACTTCTTTGCCTTCTTTGCATCCCCTTGCATTTCTCGTCTCTGTCTCTTTCTCAACCCTTTGTCCTAACTTTTAAAGGGCCAGACTCTCTGTACGTCATCAGTTGATAACCCAATAGAAGCACTAGAGGTGTGGTTATCTTCCAGATCGCACTTTAGGTATTTGGTCTATAGAGGGCAGTCTTGTCCCACTAAACATACCTATCCAGGAAAGAGTTAACTTTTCTTGGTGGCTATTTTGACGTCATTTTGCGTTATCTTTATAGTCTGCCATAACTTACTTTTCCTTTCAGATCAAACATTTGTGCCAGACTTAGTGTCCGCAATTCCTGCTATAATTTCTGATATGGCAGATCATGAACTAAGTTTAACCTTTTCCGTACAATGGTACCTTACATATATAGACAGTAAAATTTAATTATTTAATCTTCTCTGTCACAAATGTCTGGGTTTAGAATTGATCTATTCCATTAGCATTTTAGACAGTCTATCCAACCCCCGTTCTCCTTATCACTTGGTTTGTTTATACTATGTATTCCTTTAGCTCTGGCAAAGTGGTTAGTTTTACAGATAGAAATCTTGTGTCTTTTGTTAACTTGAAAATAACAAAATGGAGTCTGGTCTGTTCAGAGTGACTCAGAATATACACTTTTAATTTCTATCATAGCACAAGATGTCTGCCGATATAAATACCCTGACAATAATAAAATACAATATGCCCAAATACTGTATTAAAAGGGCCAAATCTCCCAGGGGCCATAGTCAGCAGGCAGGAGGCGGGCAAACAGGCTTCTCCAATGCCCAGTGGCGAGGTTGGTTTCGCCACAGATATCATCGAGTGTTTAGACCAAAATCAATACCACTGAAAAGGAGAAAAAATAAAAGGTAAGGGCTGCGCCAAGGAAAATTAGATATAAAAAATATAACAAATAGTTCCAAATAAAATAAGTGAATAAAAAGAAATGAAAAGTCTTATCTAAAATATTCTTATTGAGGTCGTAGAATCTATCCGTGCTTGATCCAGAAAAATTGTCCTTGTTATTCTCCTCCGTATGGGTCCGCTCATATGTAAAAGATAAAAAAAGTGGAGAGCCAAATAGTGTAGTATGCTTAAAAAGATAAAAATAATAAAAGGCTGAAATAAAAATCACATTTATAAGAGCTTATACTCGCTCTAGTGTGAAAGGCGTACAGCGGTTTGATCCCCGCTTATGGGATATAAGATGAACTTCCTCCGTCAGTGTTATATTCAACACTCGGGTAAAAAGAAACAGCCAATAGTGTACACTGAGTAAAATATTGATGATAAAATAAATAAAATGGGTACTCACAAGACAGGAGCAGGCCGACTGCTCCTTAACGTTTGCTCTGGTGGTATAATCCCCACCTAGGATTTCTTGGAGTCCAGGATGTTGAGAAGATGCCAGGTAAAAAAAACAAATAAGTGTGTATAAAGAGATAGATGGCACAGATAAAAAGTAACCAAATATACTTTAATATATATAAAAAAAACCCACAATATAATGTCCATAAACGCGTTTCGCCAACACGGCGTTATCAATATTGGGTAAGAACCTGATACCTGGCATAAGATGGTTTATATAACAGCTATAGTCCTTTAAAATTGGCGCCAAAATGTGAACAGCCAATCAGAATGAAGATAAGAATAAAATTGTTAAAACAATATAAAAACAGGGAAATTTATTTATACATATATTCTACTAAACATTATAAGCATTATTATATGAATAAATATAAAAAACGAAACATATTACTCGATTTTCTAAACTTATATGTACGGTCATGTGACCGGCAAGCTACCGCAATGCGTTATGGGAAGTGTAGTTAGACGCCGGCGCGCACTGCGCAGCCGCCGGCGTCTATATAGAAGATAGGAGTAGGACGTCAACTCGCATGATAATTGCGGCTGACGTCAATAGGAGGGGCGGAGTTAGTGATGACGACGGCACTCACAAAGCTGCGGCTGTCGTCTTGGAGAGAATGTTGTAAACAAAGTCGACGGTGAGTACAAGGCTGCAGCCATCGTCAGGGCAACGAACGGAACCCTGTCGGCACGCACAGAGCTGCGGCCGGCTAGGGTACACATGTAAACAAAGACGACGGCAAGCACAAGGCTGCAGCCGTCAGGGCAACGAAAGGAACCCTGTCGGCACACACAGAGCTGCGGCCGGCTAGGGTACACATGTAAACAAAGACGACGGCGAGCACAAGGCTGCAGCCATCATCAGGGCAACGAAAGGAACCCTGTTGGCACGCACAGAGCTGCGGCCGGCTAGGGTACAAAATCAATACCAGAAAGTCTGCCAAGGGATATTATTGTTAACTTCCAATCCTTCCAGTTTAAAGAAATTACTCTCCGTATGAGCAGAACAAAGCCTCTTAAAGGAGAACTTAAAAATATAATTGTATTACAGGACTCAAACTCACCCAAACTCAAAGGAAGAGATTCTCACTAATAATGAATATACTGAGGAAAAATAACATTGAGTACTCCTGGGGTTACTCAACTGCAATACATATTTTGTTAGATGGACACTTGTCGAAAAAGCTAATATCTGGATAAAAGAAAAAATCTTAATTTAATGATTCAACAAGTGGGGAGGTAGAAGAGTCGTGTGAAAAGCTAGAAAGGGCTTTTTTTTTTTTCAAGGTCATTCCATGAAAGGCTATCGCATTAAAAAATAAAAAACCTCTATGCCTGTTTGATGGGCAAGCTAAAAAGGACATCATATGAAATAAAAGATTCTATCTTCCTAAATATCTTAAGCCCTTGGGCAGGATCTAAAGAGTTTATTGTATCAACTGAGAGTTACAGCAGTTATGAAGAAGGAAGAAGAATTAAAGGACACTCAATAGTTTATCAAACTTTATTTATTTCATTTTATTCGTGATAAGAAGAGGATATTTCAATTACCGTATATACTCGTGTATAAGCTGACTTTTTCAGCACATTTTTTCATTCTGAAAAAGTCCCCCTTAGCTTATACTCGAGTGAGCCGGCCCTTCTAATGCTGCAGCCACCTGAGCGCTCTACAGAGAGCCTCAGGTGACTGCAGCACTGCCTCTCTCCTCACTTCCCCTTCCCTATAGCGTGGCCAAGCTCCTCTCCGGTCCGCGGTACAGGAACATCCATTTCCTGTACCCTGGCGGATTAATAGGAAGTGCACACTCAGTGTGCACTTCCTATCAGTCCGGCCACGTACAGGAAACAGAAACTCCTGTCCCGCGGACCGGAGAAGAGTTTGGCCACACTACAGGGAAGGGGAGGTGAGGAGAACAGACAGGGGGGAGGTGAGGAGAACAAACAAGGTGGGGATGTGAGGAGAACTAACAAGGGGGGGTGAGGAGAACAAACAAGGGGGTGAAGAGAAAAAACAAGGGGGGGGTGAGGAGAACAAACAAGGAGGGGTGAGGAGAACACACAGGGTGGGGGTGAGGAGAATACACGGGGGGTGAGAAGAACACAGGGAGGGGGGAGAGTCCACTGAGGGAGGGGAGGTGAGGAGAATGTGGGGGGAGAGAGTCCACTGAGGGAGGGGGGGGTGAGGAGAATGGGGGGGGTGAGAGACCACTAATGGAGGGAGGGGGTGGTTCTTGCCCAGTACGGCACTGATGCCTCAATTAATGTAATTTTATTGGTATCTATTTTTATTTTTGAAATTTACCAGTAGCTGCTGGATTTCCCACCCTAGGATTATATTTGAGTCAATACGTTTTCACAGGTTTTTGTGGTAAAATTAGGTGCCTCGGCTTATATTTGGGTCAACTTATACTCGAGTATTTACGGTAATTGTCTATAACGATTCACAATATGTATTTCAGTGAGCATTGCAATGGTTTTTTTAATATGCCTGTAACCAAGATTTTTAGAATAGAGGCAGAAGGGATGATACCTAATAGGGATTGTTTCTACAGAATTATTATAAAAACTTTTAAAAAAATAGGTGGGAGCGTGAGTGAAAATATTATAAGGTTAAATAGGGAAGTATAAGATAAACAGAAAAGAAATATTACAAATTAAAAACAATATATAACTGTAAAAATTTGTTTAGGTTGGGTAAAGAGAAATAATATTATTATTATAGATAATGGCTTAAATCACATGTCACTATGGAAGAAATTGATATATATTTTACAAATTGTAAACATAACAACCATATAGTTGAAAATGTATTTTTACTAAATTGTTTACAGTGATTCACAATAGGTATTTAAGTGTGTAATGCAATGGGCCATGTTTCATTTTCTTATAATTAAGATCATTTTTACTATAGAGGGGAAGGGATGAGTATCAACACTGAATGTTCTTATAGATTTATTATAACAACTCAATAGGGGGGAAAGAGGGGAGTAATGGTAAAAGGTTTAATAGTAAAACACAAGGTAAATAGAAAGTGAATTTGAAAAAAACTAAAAATAATGAATGACTAAAAAAGTAGTTGAGCTGTTACACAAGGGGTAATAACAAAAAGTATCAGTCACATATTTATGTTTATGTTTAACACGAGTTGAAAATATAGAGATATTGAGAACACACTAGCGGGGAGATTAAGTCATAATAAATGGCATATTATAAAGTAATAGGTATACAGTAAAAAGGGAAAGGGAAGAAAATGAAAGGGAAAAAAAAAAGAAAGAAAAAATATAGAAAGTGGAAGGGAGAGGAATGCCATACACATGTAAAGAGTAAGCAGTAAAGAATTAAGTGTTTAAATATATATATCATTATGGAAGAAGTGGATATAGATATAATTAACCTCTAATATAATGAATATATAAATGGGTACAGTTTGGGTTTTTTTTCGTGTTGTGTTTCCCCCTTTCCTTCCCACATCTTCTTCTCCTTAATATGTTATATAAAACTATTTTTTTTAAT